ACTAGAATTATAACTACCATATTAAGTGCTTATTTAGCCTACCCACTTTCTCTCCTGTGTCTTTTTTTAAAGTTATTTTTTTAAAAAGAAATATTTTTATTGATATCAGAGAGGAAGAGGAGTGGCAGAAACATCAACGATGAATCATTGACCAGCTGCCTCCTGCACGCCCCGTACTGGGGATTGAGCTGGCAGTCCAGGCATGTGCCCTCGACTAGAATCAATCCTGGGACCCTTCAACCTACAGGCCGATGCTCTATCCACTGAGCCAAACTGGGTAGGGCCCTCCTGTGTCTGGGGGTGTTTTTTCCCTTTCACTTTTGCCACTTCAACATATACTGTTGGAACATGTATTAATTTGTTTCTTTTAAAGGCAGCACTTCAAATTTTCAAGATTATCTTTAATCAAGCCCAAAGTTGGTCAATATCTTTACACTCCTTCAGAATAAAGCAAGATCATAAGACTGACATCATTTCAATGACCAACCTTACATGCATTAAGCATCGATAGGTTACCTAGAATACTTGATAATTGTCTCTTTCTCCAGCAAATTAGACACTGTCTTATACTACCATTTCTTTAGATTTATTCAGTTGCTTACTATTTTCTTTTCTTACTATTATTTCCTACATCTCAGATTTTCTGGGATAATTTTCCTCCTCCTATGTTTTAGAAGTTCCTTTAAATGAGGCAATTTTGATAATAAATTCTCCATTTAAAAAATATAAATATGTCTTTATTTCACCCTCATTCCCATATAATCCATTTAGCAAACTTATCAGAGTAAAAAAAAATTAATATTAATAACATAGCATTTAATGGTTGAAAGCAAAAAATATCATACATAACAAAGAAAGTGATAAATACTATCTTAATTTTGCATAGCATTTCTCAGATGAATGTCTGAAATAACTTTTAAATATTAAAAAAATTTTTTTTTTTTTAGAATGAGGGAAAGGGATAGGCATTGATGAGAGAAACATTAATCAGCTGACTCTTGCATGCCCCCTACTGGGGACTGAGACCAAAAGCCAGGCATGTGCTCTGACCTGGAATTGAACCACCAACCTCTTGGTTCATGGGTTGATGCTCAACCACTGAACCACATTGGCTGGGTTGAAATATCTTATAATGCATCCGTTTACTAGATACTTAAAATTATCCTGAGAAGTTCATCTTTAAGAAAAGTATTTTATGATACCCATTTTTTCTTTTTTATAGGCAAATAGGTTACATTTTCTAAGATTTGTAGGTTACATTTTCTAAGATTTGTAACCACTATTACTTTAGTTACACCGAGGATGCCTGGTATCTGCTACCTATGTAACTAAGGATGTGCCACTTCAGTCTTTCTTGTTCAGCCCGACTCATTTTACAGTTATTAAAATTTCTATAGCGTTCAAAAGAAATCCCACTGGTATACTTTTAGTTTAAAATAATTTTTTATTAACCAGGGGGCATGTGAGGAACATGACGGGCGTTGGTCGCAGGGGATGGTGGAGCAGGTGAAGGGGGAGGGCACCAGTCCAAGGCAGGGTACTGGTTGCTGTCATTGGGGCAAGCCTCTGGTGGTTACTGAAAATTCTTTGCTCCCGCTCACTGCAGTCCTGTCCAGCACTTGCAGTTGCTGCCGGCGCCAGCTCCGCTTGTACCCACAGCCACCACTTGTACCCACAGCCACTGCTCGCACCCGTTGCTGGTGCCCAGCACAGGCCCAAACTGCTCTGCACCATCAGCGGGCGCAAGCGGGGCCAGTGCCTACAGTGCATGGAGCGATGGCAGCAGGAGCAGGGCTGCAGGCAGAACTGGGGGCCATGGCGGGAGGGCCCAGGCGGGGGTGCAGAGGATGGGCCAAGACCTGCCCCTGTGACTACCGCAGCCTCATGGCCCACAGCTTCTTTCAAGGGGCACGAATTCAAGCACTGGGCCCCTAGTTAATATATAATGGGTAATTTAATATAAAAGTTCATTATTTTTAATAATGTTCCAGTAGAGTAAGTTACGAATCTGTGAATAACAGCTCATTAAATAGGCACTTCATTTATATGGAGAAATGGAAAATCCTGTCATATTCAAAGCTAGAGTTTGGCTAAGAGTTGTGAAGTTTTTCATATACATCTGTAAAACACACTAACACACACACGCATACAAGCACAAGCACACACACGTGAATGTGGGACAAGCACAGAGCATGACAGGGAAGGAAAGTGAATTGTATCTTTTCTTAACAGCTAAAAGGAATAGTCTAGAATAGAGCAAAAGAATCTCAATCTTAATGATGATATACTCTTAGCAGAGTTTGTAAAAATGAGTATATTCCCCCAAAATATAAATATTATGAATTAGTTGTATGCCACATATTATACATAACAAAACCCCCCAAAAAATATAACTTAAAAAAGGAAGAACTAGAGATAAAATATGCAATATTTTTAAATAGTTGTAATTATATTAATGGCAAATAACATTTACTGAGGACCGATAGGTGTGTAAATGTGGAGACGGTAATGCGATCCAATGTAATTTAACGTGACTACCAATTAGACTGCTCTCCAATTTAATTTCACAAGGTGGCTGAGAAGCAAATGCTGGGCCGACAAGAGCTGCTGGGCTGATGACCTTTATTAAGGTCTGACAGTTTGGTTCCCCCTCACCCTACAACAAAAGTAGTTCCCAGACAAGGATTTGTCACTCATCAGGGAAACCATCCCAGGAGGCCCCAGGAGAGAGTGAGGAAGTGAGAGGGAAGGATGGAAGGAAATAGTGTCAAATGAATGGGTTTTTGCATTAAACAACTGGCAATCAGTCCCACTGGGGCCACTCTGAGAAATAACAGTGCCCTCTCATTGAGGGGTACGTATTTACAGACCAAATCCTGACCCCCCACTGCTAAGGACCGCCCAGCCTGGCTACCTGCAGGGCAGCATGCTCTGGATCCAGATGACACCTGCATAAGTCGAGGACTGGGGAACTGCAGCTGAGCTAGAGGCCCAGGGTACATGGCAGGGCACAGACAACAGATGCCACATCTGCTGTGCCTGTTTCAGGGAAAATACTAGCTTCAGTTTTGGTTTCTTTGCTTTGCTAGATTAGAAAAGTTAAGAGTTGGCAGTTTTAGCTAAATACTCTCGTTTCTTGCCCCAGCCGGTTTGCTCAGTGATTGCAGGCGTCTTCAAACTGCGGCCCGCAGGAGTCTGATCCGGCCCGCCAGGTTTTTTGGGCAGTGAGCGCAGCCGAGGTGTTCAGTAGGAATGAGTAGTTCATATAGTCCGGCCCTCCAGCTCTCTGAGGGACCGTGATCTGGCCCCCACTTTAAAAAGTTTGAGGACGCCTGGATTAGAGTGTCGACCTGGGACTAAAGTCTATCAGGTCTGACTCCAGTCAAGGGCACAGACCTCAGTTTCAGGCAAAATCCCAGGCCCTGGTCGGAGCGTGTGCAGGAGACAACCAATGGATGTCTCTCTCTCTCACACCAGTGTTTCTCTCTGTCTCTCCCCCTCCCCCCTCCACTCTCTCTAAAAATGAAAAAAATTATCCTCGGGTGAGTATTAACAAAAAAATAAAAAATGCTGTCATTTCTTTCTACTTTACCCTCAGGATACCTCAAACATGTACATGACTTAAGACCATCTGACAAATTGTATGAGTGCTGGCATCATTCTATCAAATATTGATGTATTTCATCTTTTCTTGGATTAAAATGTACAAATATAAGTTCTAAGGTTTTCCTGCTCTAGCCAGGCCAGTGTTACTCAGCGGTTGATTGTCGACCTATGACCCAGGATGTCATGACTCCATTCCCGGTCAGGGCACATGCCTCAATTGCAGGCTTCATCCCCAGTGGGGGACATGTAGGAGACAGCCAACTCTTAATTCTCTCTCATCACTGATGTTTCTCTCTCCCTCCCTTTCTGAAATCAATAAAAAATATATTAAAAACAAATAAGATTTCCCTGTCCTGTCTACTGCAATTCAGTACCTTCCGTGCCCCTTGAGGTGTGTGCTCCCCTCTGGCCATTACTGGACCAGAGCTTATTGAGCCTGTCCAGCTCTCAGCTGGAATGATTCATCTCACTCCAGGGTATATCTGGACTATTCTAAATGAGAAAATACTAGTAACACACAGTTCTAACATCTATCTATCACTTATGGAGGAGCTGAAAATTTCAAAAACACTCTCCACAGAATTCCCTGAGTGGGTATCTTCTTTCCCTGTGTCTAAAAATTATACAAGAGCCCAATTCCATCTTGGAATTCAGTTTAACTAACTCGGTTAAAAAGCTCCGACTTCCCATAGTTGGTGGTGTGAGAGGCAAATGGGTAGACTTGTTTCCATCGCTTTTACAAAAATAACAGCTCTACAGAAACATTTTTCAAAGTCACACCTTCCTAAAAGAGTTACACGAGAAATTTATTTCCTAAACAAATAACTACATAACTGAATTCCAGAAACGTGACACAAAGTTATGAAAATCCATTTTATTTAGACTGAAGTGAGTATATTATTTATTTAGTTTTAAAACAAACTTAGCCCTCGCCCACATGCTCACTGATTAGAGTGTCGGCCTGTGCACAGGGATGCTGGGGATGGGCAGCAGTGGGTGGGATGGCGGTGGGTAGCAGGTTTGATTCCCAAGCAAAGACATGCACCTGGGTTGCAGGTCTGATCCGTACCCCTGGTCCAGGCGTGTGTGGGAGGCAACAAATCAATGAGTCTGTCACATAGACGTTTTTCTCTCTCTCGCTCTCTCCTGTCCCCCTTTCCTTCTACTCTCTTTAGAATCAATGGAAAAAATATCCTCAATCCTGCCGAAACCAGTTTGGTTCAGTGGATAGAGCGTCGGCCTGCGCACTGAAAGGTCCCAGGTTCAATTCCGGTCAAGGGCATGTACAATGATTGCGGGCACATCCCCGGTGGTGAGTGTGCAGGAAGCAGCTGGTCGATGATTCTCTCTCATCAATGTTTCTGGCTCTATATCCTTCTCCCTTTCTCTCTGTAAAAAATCAATAAAATACATTAAAAAAAATATCCTCAATCCTTGGGTAAAAATTAAAAAATTAATAAAATAAACTTAGTATATAATTTGTTAATATCACTTTGAGTAAACTTCAACGAATTCTGAGGTTTACTGTATTAGTTTAAAAAAAATCCATTCTGTGTAAAAATACTATTATACTAATTCCCTTCGTTTAAAATTTCAGAATTGAATCACTTTAGCCTATTTAAGACTTTTTTCCTCTTTATTTTATTTTTTCTCAAGACTTTTAAAAACTTGCATAATATCCTGCAAGAGTATTTTGATATATATCAACAAAATTCTACCCCACTTTCTCTAATAATAAAAATGTATTTTTTTAAAGTGTTGCTTTTTAAATTACGTGAAACTAAAGAAAAGTGGTGACTGGCTTTAGAGTCATCTTTGGAGAAAAACAGCCTCTGCTTGACCAGCTGCTGCCAGGCCTTGCAGAGGTAAGGTCTGTAGTCCACACTCGCATCGGTCGGGCGCTTAAAGCCAGAGGAAGAAGCTTCGGTGGAGGTGGAGGTTTTCTGCATTATACTCTGTGTTGTTGCAAAAAGAACCAAGCGATACTCATTGACAAGTTTCTCTAGGAGCTGAGAACACTTCTTCAGAGTAGACTCCTGTAAGTTAACACTTTCTCCGCCATTGGCTCGGTCTATCCAGTAGAAAGCAGACAAGCTGTCCAAAATCAAAAGGCAGAGAGAGGGGTGACTACAAAACATGGCTTCTAGTGAGTAGAGCGTGAGCAGCAACTGGCTGCTACTGCAGCAGTACACCAGAAACAGCCTGCCCAGGCAGAATTTTATCATTTCTTCAGAGCTCTGGGAGAGTCTGTGCTCAAGAATTGTGACAAGCCGAAGCAGATCGAAGTGGTAATCTGTATCAATAAATAAGACCTCTATTTCCAGTCCACCTGCTGATTGTGGAAGAATGCACCGGGCTGTTAAATGATAGAGCATTTCTGTCTTTCCTGTTCCTTCTGGACCATGAAATTCAAGAATATCACCTGTGTAAAATGTAAAGATGTCAGTCAAAATGCAGCAGCACAGTAAGAGCAGGCTACAAGTGAAAAGTCTCCAAAATGTTTAAAAAGACATTTGCTGGAACGTAAAAGAAAATCTAAGTCCATTTGCCAAAACGGATCTGTAAAAGCACATACAAATACACAGGGCAATCGTCACTGGAAAAGCAGAATGACTGACCCGCTGACAGCAGTCCGGGGTTTCCTGGGAAAGGGTCTGGTGCACTCCCAGGGAGGCGGTGACACGGACAGTGAGGAATAAAGGGCCTCAGACCGGGCCTTCCAAACACTCTACTGATTACAGAGGTGCACGCTCTTCCTGGCAATTGATCTCCCAATACCCATCCTCTCCTTTTCCCTTATATATGAAACCCCAATCGGGGAAGGCAATGCGCCCAACTTAAAAAACCATTTTCTTAGTCTCCCTTGCAAAGAGGGGTCAGCAGGTACCTCAGCTGCTGGCAGTGAGACGCGCGCAGTCTGCTGGGATTTCACGTTTGGCTTTCCTGACCCAGGCGCCACTTCTGCTCTCCCGCTCCCTTTCTTTAAGGTGAAGAGCCACCTCGAGACAGTGAGGAGGGAAGGTGGACTCTCGGGCAGACCTGAGGAGGTGGGGCAGGAAGCAGGACGCACCCTATGCACAGCCTGCCTCGGTGCCACTTCCGATTGAGGAAAATAAGCCTCTATCTGGTAAGCCGCTACGCTTAACTTCTGTTACACGCAGACGAAATAGCCCAACGAGGGCTCCTCAGGGTCACTGGCATTGTGGGCGAACAATTCTGGACGGCGCAGGTTCACACGGATGGGGTGGTGGGAGCCCGCAGCTCTCAGGTCTTCCATGCCGGTAGCGTCCGCCCACTGTGTCACATGGCCACCCTGCTGTGTGTGAGTCTCTCTGGAAACTGCTCAGGGGAATGGCGCCTGCACTGGGATCTATCTCCTACATTATTAACCAGTCACTACTCTGAACTTCTGCACACTCTCTCTCTACAGTTCCATATGGCTTCCCCTGAGGACAGCACAAACTAAAACACCCGGAACACGGTCCTGCCTACACAGCTTCTCAGAACCCACCCCACAGTGGCCTTCCAATTCTTGTGACACCAAAACTACTGCGATTTGATTTATGACTGAACCACAAAATTGAAAGCACTGTTTTAAAATGCAGATTCTTAGGCCCCAAACAAATTACAGAGCCTGAAAATCCAATTACTTTATTTCCTGTCATTATTAATAAGTCATTAAATGTTGAAACAAATAATGTGTAAGAAATCTAGCAAGTTGTCACCAACCTATATTTAAAGTAGTATAAAACTTCAGCCATTTTTTTCCTACAATCTTACATAAAATTTACAATTCAAAATGGAGTGAAACTATTTCCACATTAACAATTGTTCATGGACACTTTTATTAAAAGCTGACATAGTGACTATAACTATACTCGACTCAGACGTTCAGTTTACTCTCTGCTACCATATTTCTGGGGAGCTAAAGCTGCCCCCAAATGAGTCTCTCACTAATAATATAGGAAAATAAACTACATACACAAGATGAAGAAACACTCACACAAAAGCAATATTAACGGTAGTGCAGGAAAGTTAAAAACAGTTTAGCAAGATGAGTCTGAAATGGTTTGCAGGACACAGTGGACCGTGCAGAAGCTCGATGGGAACAGCAGCACCCTGCACCAAATCCTCTCCTCCCGCTCAGAAGAGGAGCAGAGAGGCTGATGAGCATTTCACAAATGAAAAGGGGGAATCTTCATCGTGGCACCTTGGATCCTAGTAACAAGTAGAAATAGCAAATCCCATCATCTTCATGATCGAATCTATCGCACTATTTAATTTTGACTATTTACTTGATTATATTTCTTGCTGGCTATGTTAAGGTTGGGGCTTGAATATTCTATCCCCAACACAAACACAGTATCTTTTTCTTTTCCTTTTTTAAAATATATTTTATTGATTTTGTACAGAGAGGAAGGGAGAGAGATAGAGAGTTAGAAACATCGATGAGAGAGTCATCAATCAGCTGCCTCTTGCACACCCCCTACTGGGGATATGCCCGCAACCAAGGTACATGCCCTTGACCGGAATCGAATCCGGGACCCTTCAGTCCCCAAGCCGACGCTCTATCCATTGAGCCAAACCGGTCCGGGCCACAGTATCTTTTTCATCAGCTAGTTTTCTTCTTAAGAACTTCCTGAGCAACATCTAAAGCACATGTGTCAAACACAAGGCCCGCGGGCCAAATCCGTCCCGCCAGGCCTTGCAATGTGGCCCGCACCGCGCTGTCATCACTGCACTCCGCTGCGTTTCCATCACAATGACAGTTTATGACTGTTCAGTAAACCATTCGGCCCTCGATTTAGGCTGGATTTTAGATTTTGGCCCCTTCTCTGATTGAGTTCGACACCCCTAATCTAAAGAATGAAAACGTAAGTCCTGACTGGGGGAGGATTACAGGCCCACAGCGAATGCTGGAACATGGATTTAGAAAGGAAATAGGTCTGCCAGTGAGGACAGGTGGGTGTGAGGGGTGGCTTTGCTTAGCAGACAGAGCCCAGCAGGTGTGAATGCCCACAACCCAGGCCCGGAACAAGGAGCTAACAGCAGGAGCAGGAACGGAACAATGTATCAGTGCTAGTCTAGCCCGCCTGCTGCCCCTGCCCAACAGCTGACACTCAGCTTCTGTCAGGTGGTCAGCCCCTCCTCCGGTTCCTAAGGTGATGGTAGTGACTTAAAAGTTCTGAGACAGACTCAAAAGTACCCACAAAGATAATACATAAGCACATAGGGATTTTTAACTTACATAATTCATGTAAATACCCTAAGGTGAAATTATCTTCCAAGTAGTATGTTGAGATGGATCTCCAAGACTCAGAAAATAAAAATGTCCTACAGCTGCTAGGACTTAAGATTCAAGACAGTAATCAGATGCTGGACTTGGAAGTCTGGGAGAAAGGTACACAGAAATAGAGAACAGCTACAGGGAGAGAAGTCAGATAAAACAGAAATTCCATAGAAAAACCAGGAGGAAAACAGCACAGAAGCTTTAGGATGTGAAGTGGTAGTTGAGTAATTAATGAAGCAGGAAAGACCTAACAGTGAGAAATGGGAGGGAAGGATCACAGAACTGGTCCTGGACAGTGGCCTTAAAGAAGTAAATGAGGGTTGGTAAGATATGTACACATATAATACCTTAATAATAATAATAATAAAAAAAGAAAGCTAAAAAGAAAAAGAAAAAGAAGTAAATGAGTAGTTTGCGAAACCACATTTAATATAAATATTAGTTTATGAACCAAACTTCAAGAATGGAGCAACTCAGAAGATGGACTGGCAGGCACTGCAGGGAGCATTCATGCAGTTGGAGGAACACAAGGAGAAGGCAGGGAGCCATGAGGACTTACAGAAAGCATACAATGGTTTATGCTCATCGACAAAGTAAAGGAATTCAACAGCAGTTTCGTGAGGCTAGAGAGTGGAATGAGGATCATTTAAGGTAAGAAAAATGTAATATTCTAAAGTAAAAGGGAAGAAACTCCATGGGGAGATAAACATATTGTACACAATACTAGTCAGAGGGTAACTGTGAGATATGACTGAATATTTGTGGAATTCTTGGAATAAGAACAAAAAATGAAATATTTGCCAAGTATTTTTTTGGAGAAAGGGGCAATACTCGTAACAAATTTCAGCACAACTCAAAAAAATAAGTCTTCGAGCCGAAGCCGGTTTGGCTCAGTGGATAGAGTGTCGGTCTGCGGACTGAAAGGTCCCAGGTTCGATTCCGGTCAGGGGCATGTGTGTTGGTTGTGGGCACATCCCCTGTGGGGGGTGTGCAGGAGGCAGCTGGTCGATGTTTCTCTCTCATCGATGTTTCTGGCTCTCTATCTCTCTTCTTTCCTCTCTCTAAAAAAAAAATCAATAAAATATATTTTATAAAATAAAAAAAAGAAAAAAGAAAAAGAAAGAGTAAGTCTTCGAGAGATCTTTCCTACAGGGTTTGATAAGGAAAATAGCTGATATAAGTAGGTGGATTCCTTAGTTCTGTGGTTTGGCATGAATGAAACTGAAGTAAAGTTTAAGGTTAAGTACTTGGTTAAGAGGTTATTAGGAATATAAAATACTCATCTCCTTTTATAGGTTAACTAGAGGTCCAGTGCATGAAATTCATGCATGGGTATGGAACCTAGTGACTGCCAGCTGGGGACGCCTCTCTTCCCTCGGCTGCCTGCTGCCAACGCAGCTGGCCCCGTTCCCTGGTCGAACTCCTGGTTGACATCCCATGCAAGGGGAAGTTTGCATATTAGGCTTTTTTTTTTTCTTTAAAAAAAAAATATATATTTTATTGATTTTTCACAGAGGGGAAGACAGAGGGATAGAGAGTTAGAAACATCGATGAGAGAGAATCATCGATCAGCTGCCTCTTGCACACCCCCTACTGGGGATATGCCCGCAACCAAGGTATATGTCCTTGACCGGAATCGAACCCGGGACCTTTCAGTCCGCAGGCCGACGCTCTATCCACTGAACCAAACCGGTCCCGGCTAGGCTTTTATTATATAGGATAAACAAAGCAGGTAAAAAGGTAATATATACAAACTGAAGAAGTAAAATCTATAAACTTGTAAATTACACACGAATATTATCATTAATGTCCTTGAGTTAGGTTCCCTACAAATGTTTAATGATGAACTGAAATCAGTTTCACTGATTTTATAAACATTTATTATCTAATCATAAGATCAAAAATCATATTCAAACTTTACACTCCGTAGAGGGAACACAGGCCTTTCAAGTGTATTTGAAGTCACTAGCTCATGTGTTTCTGTGAGCTGCTACCAAAAAAATGCAGCCTTGTCCAATGAAAGTACTGGGTCTGACAACTAGTAGAAAAAACAAACAAACAAAAAAACCTGTACAGATAGGCACTTGGCAAACTAAATCAGAAAATCTGGATGGTTTGGCCTTGCTAGCTAC